TCAGATGCCTCATAAGGGATGTTCAGATGCCTCATGAGGGCTGTTCAGATGCCTCATAAGGGCTGTTCAGATGCCTCATGAGGGCTGTTCAGATGCCTCATAAGGGCTGTTCAGATGCCTCATAAGGGCTGTTCAGATGCCTCATAAGGGCTGTTCAGATGCCTCATAAGGGCTGTTCAGATGCCTCATAAGGGATGTTCAGATGCCTCATGAGGGCTGTTCAGATGCCTCATAAGGGCTGTTCAGATGCCTCATGAGGGCTGTTCAGATGCCTCATAAGGGCTGTTCAGATGCCTCATAAGAGCTGTTCAGATGCCTCATAAGAGCTGTTCAGATGCCTCATAAGAGCTGTTCAGATGCCTCATAAGGGCTGTTCAGATGCCTCATGAGAGCTGTTCAGATGCCTCATAAGAGCTGTTCAGATGCCTCATAAGAGCTGTTCAGATGCCTCATAAGGGCTGTTCAGATGCCTCATGAGGGCTGTTCAGATGCCTCATAAGAGCTGTTCAGATGCCTCATGAGAGCTGTTCAGATGCCTCATAAGAGCTGTTCAGATGCCTCATAAGGGCTGTTCAGATGCCTCATGAGGGCTGTTCAGATGCCTCATAAGGGCTGTTCAGATGCCTCATAAGGGCTGTTCAGATGCCTCATAAGGGCTGTTCAGATGCCTCATAAGGGCTGTTCAGATGCCTCATGAGGGCTGTTCAGATGCCTCATGAGGGCTGTTCAGATGCCTCATAAGGTCTGTTCAGATGCCTCATAAGGGCTGTTCAGATGCCTCATAAGGGCTGTTCAGATGCCTCATAAGGTCTGTTCAGATGCCTCATGAGGGCTGTTCAGATGCCTCATGAGGGCTGTTCAGATGCCTCATAAGAGCTGTTCAGATGCCTCATGAGGGCTGTTCAGATGCCTCATGAGGGCTGTTCAGATGCCTCATGAGGGCTGTTCAGATGCCTCATGAGGGCTGTTCAGATGCCTCATGAGGGCTGTTCAGATGCCTCATGAGGGCTGTTCAGATGCCTCATGAGGGCTGTTCAGATGCCTCATGAGGGCTGTTCAGATGCCTCATGAGGGCTGTTCAGATGCCTCATGAGGGCTGTTCAGATGCCTCATGAGGGCTGTTCAGATGCCTCATAAGGGCTGTTCAGATGCCTCATAAGGGCTGTTCAGATGCCTCATAAGAGCTGTTCAGATGCCTCATGAGGGCTGTTCAGATGCCTCATAAGGGCTGTTCAGATGCCTCATGAGAGCTGTTCAGATGCCTCATAAGGGCTGTTCAGATGCCTCATGAGGGCTGTTCAGATGCCTCATGAGAGCTGTTCAGATGCCTCATAAGGGCTGTTCAGATGCCTCATGAGGGCTGTTCAGATGCCTCATGAGGGCTGTTCAGATGCCTCATGAGAGCTGTTCAGATGCCTCATAAGGGCTGTTCAGATGCCTCATAAGAGCTGTTCAGATGCCTCATGAGAGCTGTTCAGATGCCTCATAAGAGCTGTTCAGATGCCTCATAAGGGCTGTTCAGATGCCTCATAAGAGCTGTTCAGATGCCTCATAAGGGCTGTTCAGATGCCTCATAAGAGCTGTTCAGATGCCTCATAAGGGCTGTTCAGATGCCTCATAAGAGCTGTTCAGATGCCTCATAAGGGCTGTTCAGATGCCTCATAAGAGCTGTTCAGATGCCTCATAAGGGCTGTTCAGATGCCTCATAAGGGCTGTTCAGATGCCTCATGAGAGCTGTTCAGATGCCTCATAAGAGCTGTTCAGATGCCTCATAAGGGCTGTTCAGATGCCTCATAAGGGCTGTTCAGATGCCTCATAAGGGCTGTGGCGTGTCTTGCCCCCCAGCCTCGGCAATGGCTGGCCCATCAAGCTGGGTCTCCGGTAAGGCAGTCCATTCGTCCCTGTACTCATTACTTTCACAAAGGTTATGTAATATGCAACATGCTGCCACCTGGGTTTTGATCTTGTCCATCTTGCAGTAGTTTCTTTTCATCAAGCACCGCCACCTGCCCTTCAGTCTGCCAAAAGCGTTCTCCACCACCACTCGTGCTCGGCTTGTTATTGTACGCAAGTTGCTCAGGCTGCATGAACTCAGTTACAAAGCTGTATAACATGAGCACAAACAGCACAACTTCAGTCGACTCCATCTCCATCATGTCTGAGGTCGGAAACAACAGACGCCTAATGTACAGCGAGTGGGTGGGCGTCGCAGTATACAAGGGAACTTTGTCTTCTTCTTCTTCTCTTGTTTTGTAGCGGATTGCAAACAACTTTAAGGTGCTTACCGCCACCTACTGTACTCGCCGTGAAGTGGTTTGTGGCCTGCCAGTAAAGCCAAAGCAGAAGAAGAAGAAGTGACGTCAGCGGCTCATTTGCGTAATCTTCCCTCAGGGAAAAGTACTCCGGTGTGAACGCGATCTGTACTAAGTGCCCTGGGGTTAAAAGCGCCGGGGCACTGAGTGCCAGAACTAAGTACTGGAAAGTACTTGGTGTGAACGCGCCTACTGAGCATTCTTTGTTGTTACACAAGCTGGAACAAGATGGTTTTAATGTTGAAACGCTGAGGTGGTTAGAAAGTCACCTGACCAATCAAAGACAAGCTGGTTTCTTTAATGGAAGTCTCTCAAAGATGAAAACAGTCACTTGTACTGATACAGCACTGTGTGTGTGTGTGTGTGTGTGTGTGTGTGTGTGTGTGTGTGTGTGTGTGTGTGTGTGTGTGTGTGTGTGTGTGTGTGTGTGTGTGTGTGTGTGTGTGAGGACCCCAGGAAGAATAGCCCATGCTCATGCTAGTGCTAATGGGGATCCTAATAAAGACACATAGCAGCTACTGTGAAACAGGAAGTGGTACTGACCAGGCTCCGCCCCCGAGGGTAGACTCGGATGTGACCTCTGACCCGCAGCGCTCTCTGAAGCCCCTCCCACTGAGAATCAGCCAATCCCAGCAGAGCACGAACCTGAGCACCTGAGAACCAGACGTGAGCCTCACCTGTGCCGTCATCAATCACCAGCCTGAAAACACAGGTACACACAGGTGAGTACTCAGGTGAGTACACAGGTACACACAGGTGAGTACACAGGTGAGTACACAGGTACACACAGGTGAGTACACAGGTAAGTACACAGGTACACACAGGTGAGTACTCAGGTGAGTACACAGGTACACACAGGTGAGTACACAGGTAAGTACACAGGTACACACAGGTGAGTACTCAGGTGAGTACACAGGTACACACAGGTGAGTACACAGGTAAGTACACAGGTACACACAGGTGAGTACTCAGGTGAGTACACAGGTACACACAGGTGAGTACTCAGGTAAGTACACAGGTACACACAGGTGAGTACTCAGGTACACACAGGTGAGTACTCAGGTACACACAGGTGAGTACTCAGGTACACACAGGTGAGTACTCAGGTACACACAGGTGAGTACTCAGGTACACACAGGTGAGTACTCAGGTACACACAGGTAAGTACTCAGTAACTACACAGGTAAATACCGAGTAAATACAGGTACAAATCAAATCAAATCAAATCAGGTTTTATTTATAAAGCACATTTAAAAGCGATTTTTGGTCGAGCCAAAGTGCTGTACATGTAATAAAAACACATTACTACAAATCACAATAAACGACAATAAATTACAACAGATATATCTTAAAAACAAAATAAAAATAAAACACAGGGAAAAGTCAGGAGTCGTGCTCCGCTCTGACTAGAAGGCCAGAGAGAAGAAGTGTGTTTTTAGAGTAGATTTAAAACCCCCTAGGGTCTGGGCCGACCTCACATGGAGGGGCAGAGTGTTCCAGAGCCTGGGGCCAGCTGCTGCGAAGGCTCGGTGCCCTCGGGTTTTGAGCCTGGTCTTGGGCACTACCAGCAGCAGCTGGTCAGCAGACCTTAAAGCTCTAGCTGGGGTGTAGCGCTGGAGGAGTTCAGCTATATAGGCCGGAGCCAGCCCATTTAGTGCTTTAAAAACAAATAAAAGGATTTTAAAATCAATTCTGAACCGAACTGGAAGCCAGTGCAGTGAGGCCAGAATAGGGGTGATGTGGTCACGCTTTTTGTGGCCAGTCAGCAAACGTGCAGCAGCGTTTTGGACTAGCTGCAGGCGTTTAATTGATGCCTGGTCCATACCCACATACAGAACGTTGCAATAGTCCAGTCTCGAGGTTACAAAGGCGTTAATAACCCTTTCTAAGTCATTAAAAGATAAATACGACTTGGTTTTGGCCAATAGTCTTATTTAAAAAAAGCAGGATTTTACTACGGTGCTGACCTGCTTGTCGAATTTAAAAGTGCTAGTGAAGGTCACTCCAAGGTTCATGACCGAGGGGAGGATGGTTTTTTTGAGAGAGCCCAGAATATCAACCGGAGAGGCTGGAGGTTGGGGTCCAAAAAAGATGACCTCAGTCTTGCTCTCGTTGAGGTTGAGAACGTTTTTGCTCAGCCAGGATTTAATCTCTGCTAAGCAGTCCATCAACTGCTGTAGTGAGTGTGTGACATTTGCTTTGAGAGGCAGATAGATCTGTACATCGTCGGCGTAGCAGTGGAAGGGAATATTATGTTTTGTGAGAATTGAACCTAGGGGCAGTATGTACAGTAGAAAAAGGATGGGGCCCAGAATAGAGCCTTGGGGAACCCCACAGGTAAGAGGGGCTTTGGCAGAGGAGAAGGCACCTAGCTGCACTGAGAAGCTACGGTCTGTCAGGTAGGACCTGAACCATGCAAGGGCAGAGCCTGTGATGCCAGCGGACTGTTCAAGCCGTGACAGCAGGATGCTATGGTCCACAGTGTCAAAGGCAGCTGTCAGGTCTAACAGCACCAAGACAGCTGGGCTACCTGAGTCGGCGGCTAGGAGCAGATCATTAAAAACTCTTCAAAGGGCTGTTTCAGTGCTGTGCATGGGTTTGAAGCCAGACTGGAACTTTTCATGGATACAGGTACACACACACAGGTAAATACACAGGTGCACACAGGTAGAGGAGGAGCAGTCTTACTTCACTGTGGACTGAAAGACAGACGAGGAGGATCCACACTGAGCGCTGGAACAACACTGAGAGACACAGAGGACAGTTACTGTTACCACCTGTTCACATAACACCTCACCTGTTCACATAACACCTCACCTGTTCACATAACACCTCACCTGGTCACATAACACCTCACCTGTTCACATAACACCTCACCTGAGGCCTGTACTACGAAGCCAGAGGCCTGTACTACGAATCTGGTTCAACCTAACCTGGATATGTTGGAGTTAGCCGGTTGGCCCAATCCAAAACATACGCGCTCTCGCTAAGCGGTCCTACGACGCTGGTTATCAAGTGGATCGCTCAAGCCAGCCGTGTCCTATCTAGTTAGGTGCGCGTTCACATGAAAGGGGTGGTATCTGGAGCATTCGACCAATCACAAACATGGAGAAGCGTACTGACAGCGCAGCGTCATACTTCCTGAATGAAAAGTGAACTTTAATATTAGTCAAATATGAAGAAGTTAAACTTTAAACATCCATGACTTAAACACTTTATCCAGGATAAAAGCCACATAGCTGCACCTGCAAGGTGAATACAGCTGGTAACAGAGAAAGTGTTTGAATGCGTACATTAACAGGTTTATGATATCACTGCCCCGTCTAAGACACGATCTGACTTTAATTACATTTGACTCCAGTGTTTCCTCAACTTAATGTGTTGCTTAAAATAATACTTCTGCATCCAGTATGTGACACTGTGAGTGTTGCACGGCCAGATACGGCTCAGCTGACTCAGATAAGGAGATATATGATACATAATGATGTGATATGATATGAATGATAATGGGACACATCGACGTCTGCACTCACAGTGCCGCGGACTGTACTTAATGTTACTCTGACCCGGTTACTTATGTCGTGGCAGATATTTAAGTAAGCTTTCTTAACTCTAATGTTATAATAGTCAGATTGCTCTGAAGATGGGAGGAGGGGATATTCTATTCATTTTCAACGGCAGTTTTTCTGTATTTCCTCTATCCTGTAATATGACTTGATCGCTTTAAACTCCGCACACGGAGCTCTGATTGGTCAGCAGGCGGTGCTTTCACTGAGTTGATCTCTTAGCCTGCCACCTAACCTGCTCCTGAGGAGGTTAGCCGCTCAGCATCAGTTACCATGGAGATCTAGCCCGCTAAAAAGAGAACCAGCGTCGTAGGACCGGAAAGCCAGAGATTATCTGAAGTTAGCTCAGAGAACATCCGGCTTCGTAGTGCAGGCCTCTGGTGATATCACACCTCACCTGTATGTATGTTATCTCTACACCTGTGTGTGTACTAACTCACCTGTGTGTGTACTAACTCACCTGTGTGTGTACTAACTCACCTGTGTGTGTACTAACTCACCTGTGTGTGTACTAACTCACCTGTGTGTGTACTAACTCACCTGTGTGTGTACTAACTCACCTGTGTGTGTACTAACTCACCTGTGTGTGTACTAACTCACCTGTGTGTGTACTAACGCACCTTGTGTGTACTAACTCACCTGTGTGTGTGGACTAACTCACCTGTGTGTGTACTAACTCACCTGTGTGTGTGTACTAACTCACCTGTGTGTGTACTAACTCACCTGTGTGTGTGTACTAACTCACCTGTGTGTGTACTAACTCACCTGTGTGTGTGTACTAACTCACCTGTGTGTGTACTAACTCACCTGTGTACTAACTCACCTGTGTGTGTACTAACTCACCTGTGTACTAACTCACCTGTGGTACTAACTCACCTGTTGTGGTGTACTAACTCACCTGTGTGTGTGTACTAACTCACCTGTGTGTGTACTAACTCACCTGTGTGTGTACTAACTCACCTGTGTGTGTACTAACTCACCTGTGTGTGTGTACTAACTCACCTGTGTACTAACTCACCTGTGTGTGTGTACTAACTCACCTGTGTGTGTACTAACTCACCTGTGTGTGTACTAACTCACCTGTGTGTGTGTACTAACTCACCTGTGTACTAACTCACCTGTGTGTGTACTAACTCACCTGTGTGTGTACTAACTCACCTGTGTGTGTACTAACTCACACATAACTCACCTGTGTGTGTACTAACTCACCTGTGTACTAACTCACCTGTGTGTGTACTAACTCACCTGTGTGTGTGTACTAACTCACCTGTGTGTACTAACTCACCTGTGTGTGTGTACTAACTCACCTGTGTGTACTAACTCACCTGTGTGTACTAACTCACCTGTGTGTGTACTAACTCACCTGTGTGTGTACTAACTCACCTGTGTGTACTAACTCACCTGTGTGTGTACTAACTCACCTGTGTGTGTGTACTAACTCACCTGTGTGTGTACTAACTCACCTGTGTGTGTACTAACTCACCTGTGTGTGTGTACTAACTCACCTGTGTGTGTACTAACTCACCTGTGTGTGTGTACTAACTCACCTGTATGTATGTTATCTCTACACCTGTGTGTGTACTAACTCACCTGTGTGTGTACTAACTCACCTGTGTGTGTGTACTAACTCACCTGTGTGTGTGTACTAACTCACCTGTGTGTGTACTAACTCACCTGTGTACTAACTCACCTGTGTGTGTGTACTAACTCACCTGTGTACTAACTCACCTGTGTGTGTGTACTAACTCACCTGTGTACTAACTCACCTGTGTGTGTACTAACTCACCTGTGTGTGTACTAACTCACACATAACTCACCTGTGTGTACTAACTCACCTGTGTGTGTACTAACTCACCTGTGTGTGTACTAACTCACACATAACTCACCTGTGTGTACTAACTCACCTGTGTGTGTACTAACTCACCTGTGTGTACTAACTCACCTGTGTGTGTACTAACTCACCTGTGTGTGTACTAACTCACCTGTGTGTGTACTAACTCACCTGTGTGTGTGTACTAACTCACCTGTGTGTACTAACTCACCTGTGTGTGGTCGTACTAACTCACCTGTGTGGTACTAACTCACCTGTGTGGTGTACTAACTCACCTGTGGTGTGTACTAACATCACCTGTGTACTAACTCACCTGTGTGTACTAACTCACCTGTGTGTACTAACTCACCTGTGTGTGTACTAACTCACCTGTGTGTGTACTAACTCACCTGTGTGTGTACTAACTCACCTGTGTGTGTACTAACTCACCTGTGTACTAACTCACCTGTGTGTGTACTAACTCACCTGTGTGTGTGTACTAACTCACCTGTGTGTACTAACTCACCTGTGTGTGTACTAACTCACCTGTGTGTGTACTAACTCACCTGTGTGTGTACTAACTCACCTGTGTGTACTAACTCACCTGTGTGTGTACTAACTCACCTGTGTGTGTACTAACTCACCTGTGTGTGTACTCACTCACCTGTGTGTGTACTAACTCACCTGTGTGTGTGTACTAACTCACCTGTGTGTACTAACTCACCTGTGTGTGTACTAACTCACCTGTGTGTGTACTAACTCACCTGTGTGTGTACTAACTCACCTGTGTGTACTAACTCACCTGTGTGTGTACTAACTCACCTGTGTGTGTGTACTAACTCACCTGTGTGTGTACTAACTCACCTGTGTGTGTACTAACTCACCTGTGTGTACTAACTCACCTGTGTGTACTAACTCACCTGTGTGTGTACTAACTCACCTGTGTGTACTAACTCACCTGTGTGTGTACTAACTCACCTGTGTGTGTGTACTAACTCACCTGTGTGTACTAACTCACCTGTGTGTGTGTACTAACTCACCTGTGTGTACTAACTCACCTGGTGTGTACTAACTCACCTGTGTGTGTACTAACTCACCTGTGTGTGTACTAACTCACCTGTGTGTGTACTAACTCACCTGTGTGTGTGTACTAACTCACCTGTGTGTACTAACTCACCTGTGTGTACTAACTCACCTGTGTGTACTAACTCACCTGTGTGTGTGTACTAACTCACCTGTGTGTACTAACTCACCTGTGTGTACTAACTCACCTGTGTGTGTACTAACTCACCTGTGTGTGTGTACTAACTCACCTGTGTGTGTACTAACTCACCTGTGTGTGTACTAACTCACCTGTGTGTACAACTCACCTGTGTGTGTGTACTAACTCCCTGTGTGTAAACTCCTCACCTGTGTGTGTACTAACTCACCTGTGTGTGTGTACTAACTCACCTGTGTGTGTACTAACTCACCTGTGTGTGTACTAACTCACCTGTGTGTACTAACTCACCTGTGTGTACTAACTCACCTGTGTGTGTACTAACTCACCTAACTCACCTGTGTGTGTACTAACTCACCTAACTCACCTGTGTGTGTGTA